GTTTTTTGAGACAGGGTCAAACTGACCTGGAACTCACTATGTAGCCCAGGCTGGTCTCAAACTCACAGAGATCCTCCTGCCTCAGCCTCCCGAGTGCTAGGATTACAGGTGTGCACCACCACACCAGGCTAAGAATCCCTTACTATTGCTCTGCCCAGCTTTGGACCTAGTTCTGTCCTAACTGTTCAGGCACTTTGGAATTTCATGGACTCATATCCACTTCTCCACATACACAATTCCCAGAATTGACACAGCAGAAGAGAACATGGTTTAACCTTATTACCTGATCAGGAAAAATGTATCAACCCCGAGATAGAATGGGCCACTCCGAGAATAAAGGTATAGCGGGTTTTTAGGCACCCTGGTTTTCCATTCAAGCACATTATCTGTAACAAACATAAAAAACAATTTTTGGTTTAGTTAATGGAAGAAGCTCACATGATTTCTTTTTACAGAAGAGAGAGCTTTGCACTGGGAGTGCTTTAGGAATTATTGTCATTCAGTTGATAGAGAAGTTAGGCTGGGAATGAATGTGCTGACAGAGGTCCCTAACTGCCACGCCTCAAGTTCCTTTGTGTTCTCATGGTGGATGCAGCCCCCTTGGACTGTAGCAAAATCAGGATGCGTGCACATCACCAGGAAGGCTCCTTCAAGCTGCCCTAGGCTGGCCCCGCCCCTTGTATGGTCCCCTGTTGACAGAGTCCGATGTTATTGATGAGGGGGGTCAAGAGTGTGGCAACAGGAAGTGGTAAAGAAATGTTGATTTACTGCCAGTACACCATGCATACTTTCCTATTTTGCAAGTAGGAAAAAAAATTTACTTCCTTCCATTAATCAGGACAGCCCAGGTCTCTGGCTAGTGAGAATGCAATACCCAGGAATTACTCTGTGCCATCTTTATTTCTAGGAGGAGCCACTGGATGCTGGCCTGGACTCTAAAACAGAAGGAAGTTAGCTGCTCATGGGGAAGCTGCCAGCCTCCCGTCCCATGTCCCAACACGATCCCCACGCCAAGGGTGTCTCCTCCCCAGTGACTCCCAGAATGAAGGGATACCAGTTCCCACACCTAAAGACAGCCACGCTGTCATCTGGCTGGTGTGTCCTGAGATGATCCAGAGGAGACTCAAGACCCGGATGCCATTCAGTGCAGGGCAGGTAACTGCTGGTATCTTTGTGGTCCAGATGGCCGGCACATTCTTCTGCCAAGAAAAGCACTGCAGAGCATGATTCATGGCTTCCAGAAATCCTGGGCAAGAGCAGAAGCATTACTGTCCACTCTGAAGGCCAGCAAGCCACACAGAAAGAACTTGGCACTCACCTCCAACCCTGGACTACTTGACTCAGCCCTCCATGGTCCCCACTTGATAAGTCTGGGGACTCTTGTACTTGATCTCCCTCTACTTTGATCCTTGACTTTCCCCAACAGACTTGGCCTGCACTTGGTGCCCCATAATGCCTTGCACAGAACATGCTGCCCATGCCCAGGTCTCCAGATGCCAAACCTTCACCACTACCTAAGCCTGTTTTCCAAAAGGCTGGAGGAAGCAGAATAAAGACTTCAGTTAGAAATCACCTGTTATGGGTTGTGTCCAGACTTCCCCTCAAAGCCTCATGAAGTCATAAGGGGGACATTTTGAGAGATGGATGGGTCTATAGTAGGTGATACTGGGATTAAATGTGAGTGATTACTAAATCAGATCACTGATTGATTTGGCACCTTCACTGATCCCAGTAGCCTAGAGAGTATATAAAAGGCCCAGAAAGAAGCTGCTGAGGTCCTTGCTTGCTCACCTGCCTGCTTGGCATGTACTATATCTCCTCTGTGATCGCCTTCTGCCATGCCACCCTGCCTTGGAGTCAGCCAACTATGGACTGAAACCTCTACAAACTGTAAGGCAAATAAACGCCTTCCTCCTTTAACTCTGGTTGTCAAGTGTTTTGTCTCAGCAACAAGAAAAGTAACTAAGGTACCACCAGATTCATAAAGCCAGCATTTTACTCGAAATGGCATCCCTGGGTTCTCCCAAGGATGAACCACTTACAAAAAATATCTCTAACAATAGTCAGTGCACGGGTACCCAAACAGAAGGGAAAGTCAGGCATGGTAAGCACTCAGGAAGCTGAGGCAGGAAGATCACCACAAGTTCAAGGCTACCCTGGGCAACATAGTGAGTTCAAAGCCAGCCTGGACTACTTAGCAAGGGCCTGTCTCAAAAAACAAGACCAAGCAAAACAAAAACAAAAACAGGAGAGAGCTGGCCTGGTAACTAAAGTACAGGCTTTAGAATTACTCCTTGTTCTGAATCTGCCTGTCTTTTATTAGCTCTGTGGCCTCTGGCAAATAGATCAACTTCTCTGTTCCTAAGTTTCCACATCCACAAAACAGGAATCAAATTTTTATAATCGTAAGACTATATCATGAAGAACAGATGAGGTAAGGCATGTATATCAATCTGAAAAGACACTCATAGAATCTCAGCTACTATTAGCACTATTTTAAGCCTTACTGTTTTAAGGATGTTTAAGCCCCCTCCTTAGCTTAACTCCTGTGTTTTTTTCTTTAAATTTAACTTGACCTGTCCTGAGAGCCAACAAAGTGGCTGGAATGTTGGAACAGAAATCCCAGAGGCAGAAGAGGGCTCCTCAAGACTTGTACTTTCCCCTGAGCAGCGCTCAAGAGCTCAGTGCCTTCAACACTGTAGACAGCAACGTGTCCTTGCAGAATTAGAACTTGTTCACATATAAGATCCAACTTAAAACCAAGTTCTGGAAATCTAAATCCATTTCTAAAATTGAGGGATTTAATCACCTAGCCTTTTGCGGTTCGAACAGAGACTCTGAGCTTTCCATTTAGGTCACTCCCCTGTGATGATGCCTCTGTCTCGGGGTCAACCCTGCCTCTTTCATTTAAAAAAAAGCGCCAGGACTTGGCAGTGAATGCCACACAGGCAGCAGTCTTGCACCTTTCACCTGGCTCCTCCATTTCCTGAGAAGCTTCGTGTTCTCATGGAAACACTTGGGACCAGGCCTCTATCAGGCTCAGCCAAGCTCCTTAATATCTCTGAGCCTCAGTTCCACCAATTTTAAAACAAGCACACTTTTTGGCAGGGTTGTCTTGAAGATTCTAGCATGGTGCTTAATGGCCAGCTCGAGACCTACATTGGCAAGCAAGTGCTTAATATATTTTATTATTATTTTGCTATCTAAATTCTACGGGTGGATGAATGTAACCAACAGTGGTTTATAAAGTTGTCTGAAAATAACTGGTCTATAGGGAAAGCTGTTTTTCTGAGTCCCATCTGGCTCATTTGTAAATGGAAAGTATTATAAACCATGAGGGAGGGCTGTAGGGAGGACTGGCTGAAATAGTGCATGGGTCACTGGTTCCCAAGGTGCAGGTCCCGGAGCTTCAGCCTCACAGACAACTTATTAGAAATGTTCATTCCAGGCTGTAACACACTTACTGGATCAGACTCTTTGGGGCTAGGGCCCAGAGACCTGTACTACACTGTGCCAAATTTGAAACCTCCTGGGTGCTTTTCTAAAGCAAACCTGGCAGCCCCATTGGATTCTCTTATTATCACTGTGAGTCCACTTTAAGCAATGGCCTATGGAGTAAAAAAATCCTGGCTTCCAGCAGCTGAAATCCATAGCTATTAACTTAATGACAACATCCTCATAGCTTACTCGTTCACCAGTGTCTGACTCATCTAAATAGCAAAGGAAAGGCACATGTAACAGGAAACCACTCAAAGTAAATGCAGTGGTTATTTGGAGGATAAAGAAGCAGGAATCCCAAATTCCCGGTTTAGCTCTAAACTTCCAGAAGACATGGTGGTCTTAGGTTGATTTGACTTGCTGCTGACTATAAAAGTGGAGAGGAAGATTGCTGAAGCTCGGGTAATTTTTTTTAAAATTTGCTTTGGAAGCAACTCAGAAGACCCCCTGCCTCCCAATTCTGAGGCTACAGTTAGATATAACTACTGAGGGCTGGGGATTTAGCTCAGTGGTTCTGCTGCCTGCCTTGCAAGCACAAGGACCCGAGTTCAATCCCTGATACCAAAAGAAAAGAAAAGAAAAAAATAGATATAACTACTGAAAAAAGAAATGTAGCCTCAGTGATTTGATCATAGGAGTTTCAGGTTGGGTAAGGAACCTTAGTTTCTACAATGGATGCCCAACACCACACCAGGTATGCGCTCCAAATTCTGCAATCCGGTCTTAAGCCAAGCTTAGCACTGAAGAAAGGAATGGGGTTTGTGCTGTCTGTTGCCTCCCAGTCAGTCTGACAATTGGAGCCCCCTGAGTCCAGCTGACAGTGAGCTCTGAAGCCCACACAAGTGGTCTTGGCAGATGAAAGGACCACCATTTCTTCCTTTTCCTGCCTTAACTGAAGAGAATGAAGAAAAGAGGAATTAATTTAGGGGGAAATTAGTCCATATTGTCTCATTTCTCCTTCTACAAACCCACTTTGGAGCCCTTATTTTACACTTGTGGAAATCGGGGGCCATAGAGGTCAAGCGATCTGACTGGAGATTGCTGAGCCCACGTTCCAGCCACAACACCCAGCATGGACATGTCTACGGGGCAGCCAGGGCAGGGAGAGGACACCAAGGGCAAGGCCACCATAACTGTCCTCTACATCTGACAGGTCTGTACCATAACAGAGAGAGAGGTCTATCTTCATGGTGTAGAGGGCGCCCTAACAATCGTCGCTTTCCATCACGACTGACAGAACTGCTTCTGGCTATGAGAAGGAGCTTGTTCCAGGGGCCTTGGAGCCTCTCAGCTCCTTCTCAGGATAGCTTCATCCTGACCCAGATGTGTTTTCTTGTTCTTCTTCTTCTTGGGCTTTCGTGCTACTGTGACGGCTAGTTTTGTTGAAAACTCAAATAGGAACTAAACAAAAATAATTGTCATGTTTTCTGCATTAGGCATTCTCCCTGTGTCCACCTCCTCGGATGGTCATATTCTTCTGGTTCATTCATTGAAAATTTTGTTTTTAATTTTTATCTCTTTCACTGGAATGAGGAAGGACCATTGTGTAGATGACCTAAACAGGATTTGCCAATAATTATTCCACATGTTCTAAAGCTATTTGGATGGCCAGGCAATTCTTGGGAAAGGCGCGGGCGCGCGCGCACGCTCTCGCGTGTGTTTGTGTGTGTGTGTGTGTGAGTGTACATACACCCATGCACATATGCAAGTGTACAGGTATGTATACTTTTCCCTTCCATGTAGGCAAATGGAAACAAAGGTAATACTCTTGATGTTATACTGGAACATAACACAGGGGAGCGCATTGAATCCAGCCTCTCACTACACAGTTATCTGTTTCTGGCTCAGCTATATTAATTTAATTCATGTTGCACACTCACCACCCCCAACAGTTTAAAGTAAAGCATTTACCCTAATGGCAGCAGAAGCTTCTATGAGCTTTCAGTATCTGTGACACTGAAAATGGATGTTGCCATCAGGGAATTGGCCTAGGGAATTTCTACAGTGAGATCCTGAGCTCTCCTCTGACCTAGTCTTTGATTAGCACAAACACACACTGGATAATTGTATCCAACAAATAAAAGAGCATTTTTTGGTGGCCTTGTCTTGCCTTGCCTTAACATACTGATGGTCAACAAAGACTGAATTGTAAGGAGCAGAGATCCAACCTCCACGATGACATTTGGAAGCTGCTCAGTGTTTTCTAGAACCCAGCACTGTCGGGATTATTTTGCAGCCACAGGCTCATCTAAATCACCTCTCTCGGGTGGTCCTACTTCAATAAAATGCTCACTTCTTCTGCTTGGAGGTCCGGCAGGGGAGAGAGGGGCCTGGGAAGCTGCCCCACACACTCTGTGTCTGTGCCCATTGCTCCCCATCTCTCTCAAAGGCAGACTCCCATAGCTGGTAGAGGGGGCCCCGCCTGCAGGTGACGGTGTCCTGAGGTCTGAGCTCCAGCCCCTGGCAGCCACGCAGAGTGTTCCAGTGAGAGGGAGAACAAGACCCAGCAAGGTGATGAACCTGTGGAAGAAGACACATAACCAGGCTTTCCTCACATGCCACCAAAGATGCAGAGAAAACAGGTTCATGAAAAGCAAAAACACTGACTTTGTGGTGTGGGGGCAGGATGGGGAATACTGGAGATTGAACCCAGGGCCTTTGCACTAGCTAGCTACATCCTCAGCCCTTTCTCATTTAATTTTAATTTTAATTTTAAGACAAGTTTTTGCTAATTTGCCCAAGCTGGGTTTGAACTTGTGATTCTTCTGTCTCAGCTACCCTGCTTGGTTACCATTGACTATTTATATGGTAAATATTTAGCAATTTTAATAATGTAAAATGACATTTTAAGAACAAAAATACCGGGGCCCAGGATTTAGCTCAGTGGTTCCACTGCCTGCATTGCAAATGCAATGACCTGAGTTTGATCCCCATTACCAAAAAAAAAAGAAAGAGCAAAAATACTTTTTAAATTCACACAAGAAAATATGAATGAATTTCACTTAATTCCTTAACTCTTAAGGAAGCAATGTGACTGAAGATTAATATATGCTTTTTTAAAAAATTAATATGGACCCAGTTAACATATTTGGGAAAAAGGTGAATAATGTAAAAGTTAACTTACAAGAGGAAAAACACAAGTGAAAGATAAACACAAAGGAAAAACTCCCCTCACCAGCTTCTTTAAAGATGTAATTAAACTAATATATTCACCTAGCAAATTGGTGCCCGGTTTTATACAGCAGCCTTGATGCTGGTGAGAAGGGGACAAAGCACATGTGGCTTTTCCTATTGGGCAGTAGGAATAATTATTCAGAAAAATAGCATCAAATGATTCCATTGGTATGAGCCAGCAATTCTACTTCTATTCAGTGAGTCCTAAGGAACAGTCCAAAATGCAAACAGGAAGCACAGGGCAAGACTGCAAAGTGGGAGAGGCAATGCCTCCCTGAGTCTTAGTGCCCTCAGGCTCCTGTATACACTGCCATAGGCTAAGTGGCTTATAAACAACAGAACTTGATTTCCCATAGTTCCAGAGGCTGGAAAACCCAAGATCAAGGCCCCCGGAAGACTAAAGATGTGGTAAAGACTAAAGACCAGGCCAGCTTCCTGGTCACAGCACCCTCTTACTAACTTCACATGGTGGAATGGGCCAAGGAGATCTCTGGGATCCCTTTTATAAGGGCACTGATCTCGTGAGGGCTCTAATCACCTCCAAGGGACCCACCTTCTAAGGCACTAAGGGGAGGCTACATTTCAATATAGGCATTTGGAGGGCCAGAAACATTCAGACCACAATCCCCTATGAACAGGCAGCACTGACTAGACATAAACATAACAAAATGGCTAAATGCAATGGCTGAGAGGAAACTGATACTGAAGAAACAAACAAGATCCTAGCTGAACACCTCAGCTGTTCATACTCACAGACACACAGCAGTAAAGGTGTCCAGGGGGAACATTCCAGCAGCGCATCTGGCCACACTCCCACCAGCCAAGGGAGAAGAATTTGACACAAAGAGGGAAAGGGAGGGGGCTGAGAATGAAGTGTTTCTAAATCTTAAAGTATCTACCAAGAGAAAAAGAAGCTGTATTAATATTTTAGTTTCTAATACTGCTTTACACTTTTCCAAATATTTTCCTTCTATTTCAAATAAAACTTTGACATTGAATAGCCTTTAATATCCAGTCAGCCCTTTATATCCATGGATGGAACTGACCTTAGACTGAAAATATTTGAAGAAAAAAATCACATCTGTACTGACCATGTACACTTTTTTCTTGTTGCCATTCCCAAACTAATACAGTATAACAACTATTTACATAGCATTATGTAATATAATACCTAATTTAAATGCTACATACATAATGATTTAAAGTCTACAAGAGGATGAACGTAGGGTTATATGCAAATACTACCCCACTTATAAAAGGGCCTTGAGCATCCATAGCTTTAGATATTCTTGGTGGGGGTTCTAGGAATCTGCATTCCTGAAAGTTCACAGGAAGCACACTGAGAAGCAGGACCAGGATACTTCCAGTCTCAGTGAAGTGTGAGACACAGCGAGTTTTATAAGGTAGCAATGCCAACTGTGAATAACAAGAAATCTGCTACTTTTTAAGCTCCTACTAGATACGAGGTATGTTCTGTTCATTATTGCTCACCTTTCAACAACTCTGCAAGGAACTACTATTTATCTTATTTTATAAACAAGAAAATTGGCCTCAGATAAGTTTCTAAATTTGAGCTTAGCAGCTAAGAATATGGGTCCTGTGGTTTGGGATCCTGAATTCACCCCTTATGATGTGACCTTGGACACGTTACTTAATAGCTCCATGACTCAGTTTCCCTCTGCCTTGGTGAAATTGGGATAATAAAGGCACCTACCTTGTGGGGTTGGTGTGGAACTAAATGATGCAATAATTGGAAAGCACACAGAACAAAGTCTAGCATACAGTAGGGGGTTTAATAAATTTTGGAAGTTCCCTGTGCTGCCACATCCACCACTCCACCATGTCTAGGCTTAGATCCAAGACATTGAGGTCAGTTGCTATGGAGCCTGGGCAAGTCCCTTTGCCTCTCCAGGTCTCGTTTCCATGCAACAAGGAAGGGCGGGCTGGGTCCAGTGGTCTAACATCTCTTTCACCTCCAGCACTCGCTGTTCCCATGAGTCTATGGCCTGAGGGTTTCCAAAATGTCCAAACAGACTGCTCAAAGATTAATACTACATGACTGATTACGATTCTTAATTGTAACATGTCAAGGCTGGAAACAAGGAAGAGAAAGCATCTATCTGTATGTCACCAACCCTGGCCCAAATAACAGGGCTTGATTTAGGTTTCCATGTCCTCTTTGCTTTGAAATGATGCCCCTGGAGCTACTTCTTATTTATATATAGATTTCCCAAATCAACTTCTCCCCTGAAGTGAAATGTATGGATCCACCACCACTTGTCCATTTCCCCTTAGAATTTGTATTTCTAATTTTAAAGAAATCAACTCGGGCTATGTTTTCCCCTTCCCTTCCCTTTTCATTCCTTCTCTTGTCTTGTGTTGAGCACTCCCCTGCCTCCAGGAAATGTGCATCAGACCTCTGGAGTCTGCTGCCTGGAAGAACTGAGCAGATCCCTCCTGAGCCTGCAATGCTAAGGCCCAGCCCCAGCACCCAGTGAACTTATTCTGTGTAGATCCCTGTCCGGTGAGGCCACAAGAGCCAGCACCTTTGCTGTCATCTTTTAGCTGAACAGCAAGCAATGAAGGCCACAGGGAAATCCAACACCAATATGAAGAAAGCTCTATAGTTTATCTGCACTAATACAAAAGAAGTTTGTTTGTTTGTTTTTAAATTTAACTTCGGGCCTTAGGTGCAACAAAAAGGAAGAGACAAAAGAATTGAGAATAAAATGATAACGAATATGTCTGGGATCCCAGATTAAATTCCCTTTACCTTCCACTGTTTTTAAAGGTATCTTTTGGAGATACCTGAGTCCTCCCTGCCTACACAGCACAGACTTACTGGCATCTTGAAACTATATCCTGGTTATCTTCCCAGACAGTCTCTGAGTCTAAACCTAGAAGCTGCATTCACAGGCTCTGGGGCTAAAGGTAAAGTGAGTCACAATGGCCCACACAGGCACCCTGGGGCTCCCTTCTGCACAGCAAGCTACTTGTGGAGGAAACTGAGGGACACAGAGACCCAGGACCTTACCACCAGGGCGGACTCGTCTGAAGTCCACAACTCCTTCCTACCGCAGGCTGACAACCCCTTGCTCCAAAGAGGCTTAGGCTGATTTCCTACAACATGACTTTTCCAGCTCTGTCCAGCTCTGCAACCACAGCCACTCTGCAGCTCAGCAGTGACTTGGGAACCTGCACAGTGCTCTAGCCATCCATAAAGCCACAAGGATGATGATGGTTTTATGAGAACCATCTGTGTACCTGTATGTTTCTTCATGTGTCTGCCTGTATGTGTATGCACAGGTGTAAGTATGTATATATGTGACTGGGTGTATGTACGTGTACGTGTCTAAGTATGTGTGTTTCTATGTGTAAACATATACCTACCTAAATACACACACACGCACACACACTGACCTTTACCTCCTCAGTGTTCTGGGGAAAGAGTGCAAGGAAGACTTCTGTGAGATCCACCTACCAGCTCTTGGCCCTCCCTTCCCTCTTGCCACATCTGTTCCTGCATCTTCAGGGGCCTTACAGGTATGAGTATGAACAACCTCAGCCCCATCTCCTACCTCATCTCCACCCAACACAGTTGCTCCTTAGTATACCTGGGCTGGGAACCCTGAGGTCCTCCATGTTCAGACCATGGACCAGAAGAGAAGGAGCAGGCTCTGGACAGGTATGTTCCCTTGATGCTGCAGACATCAACCCATGGGGACAACCCAGCCAGAGGAACCCCTTCCTAAAGGATGCAGCCAGACAGGGAGCTCCCTGCCTTGGTCCAAGTGTGGCATTGTGGGTGCCACTCCCCGCTTTCTCCAGAGCACCCAGCATGCCTCCCCATGTGACCCCACAGAGCCTAAGGACCAGGGGAGTTAGAGAATGTGTAGTGCAGAACTGAAGCCAAGGTCTCCAAACTTACTAGGGACTATACAGAGACTCAGCAAATCACTCCTCCATGGAGGCAGCCCTGGGGCTGGCCACCTGACCCGGACTCTCAGGATGAGGCTACCATGATGCTGTGGGTTTTTTAGGCCTGCTCAGCCTCCCCCAATACCTGAGTCCATCAGTATCTGCAGGACTCCAGAGATTGATGGTCCTGGCAGCATTGCAGACAGATTCCACACCCCAACTCTAAACTCTTCCATACTCAACAAAACCATTCTGAAGCCTATGCCTGGTCAATCATCCTTACCGCACTAGGTTCCGAGTCTATGCAAGGAAATAAGAAGCCTTTATTAGAAACCTTTAGTTGGGGATATAACTTAGCAAGACTGTGTCTACCTGAGAAGTACAAGATCCTGAGTTTGATCCCTGGTACTGAAAAAAAAAATTTTTTAACTTTATTTGATCTGTTTCCCATCAACTTCTTGCCCTTTCCACCCCACATACTCCCCAAATAAGGCCCGCTCAAGCCTTTCAGTAAAGTTCCCATACCCACAATACTTCTCCTTCCCCCACTCTCCAAATCCCTCAGATTATACAAAATGTGATCAAACAATACAGTACCAGATCTGTAATACACTTTTAAAGATTCAAATATTCATTGTCTATTTTGTTCCCCCATTGTACACTCCTCCCCAGTGCTCAATCTAAGACCGAACATTTATTTCCTAATAGTTTCTTCTACTAACACAGGTTCACACACTTCCTCTATTAAATTGTAGGTTTCCTGAAATGAATAATCCCCAATTGTTTTGGGCCTCTCAGCATACACATGTCATGTCTAATACAAAGGCATGATATGAAATTGCTCAGTAAATACTGTCTGAATTAAGCCGAGAATAGAAGATAGAGGGTGATGTTCTGTGAAATGTTTTGGGTTCCTTTTGAATCCTTAGCAAGAGAGGCGCTTCTGTGGATAATTCAAGGAGTTGCTATTAAAATACCTCTAGGTTTTCAAGCAGCACTAGGGAATCCATGAGAGCTGTGGGAAAAACCATCCTTGGCAATGCCAGTACCATTGTTCCGCGAGTGGGCTGATAGTTCTGATTGTAATAGGCAAAGCAAGGTGAATTTAGTCCAATAGACATCTGGCAAGAGGACAGTATAAAGCTTATTATAAAGGACTATTGCGCATCAATTCTCCAAGCAGCTCAGAATTCAATGCTTTTGGTTTTACTGCAAAATGGAAAGTGTGAACATCATGAAATATACCTGGGAAATGAATATAATAAGTGATAGTGAAATGCATGGATCTAAATTTTTAAGGAAATAGACTCAAATTGGATTTTATAATCATCATATCAAAGGTTAATCTAAACTTTCCACACCCTGGAGTTACACATTTTAATTCTGGGAGATGTGCATAGTCTGCTGTGAGTCCCCTGCGTGACATCCTGTGACAACCCATGTGCAGCACTTTGCCCTAGCCCGTGGCCACAGGCAGTCCATTCCACCTGCCCAGGTTCTCTCCCCCTCCAGCACTGCAGTCTTCTTTTGCCCTCTTATGGATGCTCCAGCTCTGGCAAGGTCTGAGGTACATCTGTGGCCATAGCAACCACCTGGCATTGCTGAGCTGGTCATTCTCACATCTGTAGAGGAAATACTGGCAACTCTATCAAAAGCTTTAAGAAACAGCTCACAAATCCCTTCCAGATGGGGGCCTTTTCCCCTAGGCAAAGAGGCTCTCGTTTCACCGCTGCCTGTATGCTTAAACTATAAAAATGTCTTGGCCTTAAAGACTTAATTCCACCAACACAGCTGGTCAGCTCCACTCACTCTAACCAGAGCCCTCCTTCTTTCCAGTTCCTTTGTCCCAGTGCAACTTTATCAAAATATCTCTTTACTGATAGCGATTATTTCTAATGTGGCATTTTATTCTAATGGCAACTCTGGCTAGTGAGGCTAGCAACAGCCAGAAAAATGAGGTGATTGATAAATCTCTTAAATGAGAAAGACTTAGGGAGTCCCTTATTCACGTGAAATGCCAATTTTATAATAATTACAAATATATTTGTTTTAAGGATATTCACACTTTGTCCCACAAAAGAATGGAATTTGAATTTGATTCATAGCAAATTTTTCTTTCTTTCAATACTGGAGATGGAACCCATGGCCTCGCACATGCTAAACAAGCACTTTACCACCAGCTCTTGTCTGGCTTTTCTGTTTCAACAGCCAGGACATACTCGGCTAGATAGATAATGTAGCCAAAGCTACAAGGACCACATAGTCAAGGCAATTTAAAATTTCCACAAACCAGCTTAAAATCAACACCTTAGAGGAGAATGAATACAAAAGATACTGGCTGCAGAAAGTTTTGGCTTTAAGGTTCTGTGTGGAATATTTTGAAAGACTTAGAGGAATTCAAATCCATTTCCACGTGGACTAAAATATATTCCTCCTACATGGCTAAGGTCAGAAGTGATTATACAGTTAGAGCCAGCTGAGCTTTAGAGCTCACCCATCCTTCACAGAAGAGGCTGGAAGCTTGGGGAGATTAAGTGATTTGCCCAAATTCACACAGCTGGGAAGTGACAACCAGGACCAAACGCAGGGCTCTTAGCACTAATCCATTACAACACATTGGCCTCAGACAGTCCTACTTCAGAATGGCCTCTGGGTCCAGCCGGTGCCAAATACATGGCCAGGGCATAGAACGTGCACAGTGTGGAAACTGGACACCACCCACCACCTGCCTCCATGCTAATCAGGCAGCTGTGGATGAGGGAAGACTGTTTAACTTTACATCTTAATTACATAAAGATTCAGCTCCCATCTCCTCATTATGGGCCTTCTCTTCCCTTCCTGCCTACTCCATTGCTATGCCAATCGAACCTCTGCTCCCAAGCACCCCACCCCATCCCAGGACTCCATGGTTAGTGGATTGATGAGGATGAAAATTTGGTTCAATCCTGAAAGAACTGCCTTTGTTAGCTGTAAGGAGTTAGAGGTTGTCAAGGAAATGCCAAAGAAATGGTTTTACTGTGTTACATTGTACCTACCCAGCTGAGACATCATAGTCACATCCTCTTCAGTACAGGAATCAGGGACACACACACCCACACTGTAATCGGCTCCATCCTGGGAAGCACAATGCCACAATGCTTTTTAATTTTAGTGTTCATAGCTCATATGCGTAATCATTTCTAAGTCTGCTGCTGTGCTACTCATACATTAAGCAGATTGAGAGGGAATGGTGTTGAAAGAAGAAAAATTTCTAACTTTCTAAGACATGGCTTTTCCCACTGATTCTCTGTTCCAGATGAGAAGTCATTAACAGCTGACTCCATTAGGATTTTTAACCAACTGCCAAGTTGTCCTTTCTGGATAGCAGTTTTCAATGTTTAGAGATTTTATTAAAATCAAGCCAATAATTACAATGTCCATCCCAATAAACAGAAGATCAAATTGTAAACAAAATTGTGGGCTTTTTCTTATAAATTCATAACTCACATGATTGTGTAGACCCGACCTTTTGCTCTGATATCAAAGCGATTAATCTGTTTTGAAAATGACATTTGTATACACTGATTAAACCCTCAAGCAATCATTATCCAAACCCTCAATAAAACAAGGGAGGCCAAGTGATAATCTCCCTGAGTCCATGGTTCAACATCATAAGCATTTTTAGCATTAATATCACAAAGCTTGCATTTCTTATTGCAGACAATTGTTTTTAGCCAACTAGAAATGTAATTTCCTTTTATTATTGTGTGATATGCATAAAATTTACCCTATACTGAATGAGAGACTGTGCTATTCCTGTGGTTCCCCCTGCCCCAGCAGTAAAAGGATTAACATGCTTTGTAGATAGTGAGTTCAGCAACACGGGTCGACTGATTTAGGAATGGTCCATCTGCTAGAAAAACCCCAAATTTGTGTCTAGGGCTCTGTCTCTTGGAAAAGGGTAGTAGGAAATCCATCTTCCCTCCGGTGTTCCAATAACTGATGGGCAGTTAGGAGCTAGTGCTCAGGAACTGTGTTCAAAGCTCCTTCCCTTGATCAGCACAGTACCATGAGGTTCCCAATGGCAAGGATACAGAGTAGAGATTTGATGGGAAGCATGGTGCGAGCCCTCCATATCCCAAGAATGACAGAGTCCCCGCTGGATTCCAGCAGTGGCTGTGCCTGGAGGGAGCTGCCAACCACCCCAATGAACATGCACAGGATCTTGCTAGTGAAGTTGCTAGCCAGAACTTAAAGTTGGATTCCCCATGAAGGTCATCCAGAGGTCTTGCCTCATACTGTGTGTTTTGTGAACAAGTCCCTCATATAATGTCCTGCACTCAGAATAGACTAAGCCAGTTTCTACCAACTATTAAAATTTAGCTTTATCTTTTTGCAAAACATTGTAATATTTTTGTGTTCTTAATTACAAAAAGCAATTGTGGAGTTGTATTGCGTTCCATATCATGACATTCACTTGTCCTGCAAAAGCAAGTGCACAGGTCCATCGTGCTCACCTGAAGTATATGAAGCTTACAATACTGCCCTCGGAATCTTCTAGTGGGGCTGTGGGTGGAGAGGCACTCGCTGTAAGATCCCAGCCTGTCCAGGTTGCCATTAAGAATGTTGCTTCCAAGCTTCCCCACAGAGTCATACACTGAATTTCAAAGCAAAAGAAGCTTACAAATTTAGCTTCCTGTATCACTTTCAAATAAATTTACAGGAACTTGGCTCTACCTTCCAACCCTATAAATTTAGATAGTTGAAAAAAGAAGAGAGACAGATTTATTCAGATGCCACTCTTTGGCATCTCACTCATCACTAGGAGGAGAACAATGGAATACACACTGTTACATGATTTGTCAGCAGTTGCTGAAAAAGATGAAGAGTTGCTTTTCTTTTTAAAAACAAGTGCTTTCTGGGGAGTGAGAAGATGTAACTAAACTTTGGTAGCTTTTTTTTCTCTTTGTACACAACCCATAACTTATCAAGTTCTGTGGGACCTTACTTTGTAGAAAGTTAGTTTTTTTTAACTTTTGGAGCAGTGATCAAGCCACACAGTTAGTGGCATTCTCAACCCCCCTCTTGCAAAGTCCTTCTTTGTTTGTGCTTATGTCCTTCTTTTCTTTATTTAAAATCCATTTTCTTTCCTATTTCTTCATCTCTTTCTATCCCTTCACTAGATTTTCCTCATTTTATGGGTCTGATGTATATCCTCTTATTTGTAGGTGTTCTTGTTTCATATATGTATGTAGGTCATTTGTGTGAGTAGTTTTTTGTTTCTACATATATCACTGAGGGCTACATTCTTAATATTTCATGATGTTACCGTGCACATCTAGTCTGGGGTTTCTAATTGCTGTATAATAATCCATTACTAACTTTGATTTAGCTATTCCCCAGGTGATGGACACATATTGTAGATGTCCTCAATCTATGCCAACACATGGTGATAAATTCCTTATACATGTCCCTGCACAGAGCAACATGAGGATTGAGTTCAGCTATGAGTGGAACCACAGGATCAGAAGACATACACATACTTAGTCTGTGTGAACCCTGCCAGTCACTCACTGCCCAGTCTACATTCCTCAGAGATGCTGGGTGACTGTCTTTTCTTTGCACTGTTCATCTTTCTTGTATGTAGCAACTAATGAACATAAGATGGTATCTAACTGTTGGCTTATAACCACTTGTCTAATTACAAATTAGCCATTTAGATTTCTCTTCAGAACCTGTTTGCCCAATTTTTGTGGATTTTTTTCTGTTTCATTTGCAAGAACTGCTTATAACTCTGTATGTTGATCCTGGACTATCTGAGTTGTTAAAAATATCTACTCCAAATTATCTGTCAGTTAACTTTACTTGTCCTCCAGCGAACAGAAACCCATACTTTTGGTATAATCAAATCCATCAATATTTTTGCTTATTGGTTATGTTATTGGTCTTTCATTAAGAAATTCTCCCCCATCTATAGGACACTAAGAGACTTTTCTAACATTGTTTTCTACTATCTCTATATTTTTGCCTCTCATTTTTTTGTATTTATTTTTTTTTTTTTTTTTTTTTTGTACACCAGAGATCAAACTCAGGACCTTGCACTTGTGAGGCAGGTACGGTGCCACTGAGCTAAATCCCTGGTCCTATCTGCACCACTTTTTTGTTCAAAAAGTGAGCCAGTTTTCCTAAAACCTTCCCTCTATAGCTCTACCTTCCACCATGGATTTATGGAACAAATTTCTTCTTACAGGAAAGAATCTAACATTATTTTTGTACTAAGCTACCACTGAATATCATGTAATTTATGCAAATCTTCTTTTCCATCTTTACTTATGATTTTTCACTTTTGCCTTGACAAACTTAGATTATATAACACAATCAATTCTTAATTAGTGTGTACTTCATTATTTTCCTTGGTGTTTTATTTTCAATTATAGCTACTAACTGATTTGTTGACAATGTGGAAAAATTCAATAGATTTTTATAACTTGTTCCAGAATCTTTTAAATTTGCTTAATTTCCTTATTAGTTCTGCAGTTTTATTTTCCCCTCTCTAATCTATATAACACTACTTTCCCTTTTCTACTTTTATTGTTTTATTTTGTTTTTCGTTTTTTCTTTGTTTTTGTTTTTGTTTTTTTTTGTTTTTGTTTTTTGAGGCAGGCTCTCACTATGTAGCCCAAACTGGCCTCCAACCCGAGGGAATCTTCCTCCTCATACTTAATCCCTGAGTGCTGGGGTTACATAAGTGTGTCACCATGCTTGTTGCTAGTTTTGGAACCAAAGTAATAATCAAGTTTACAAAATGAGTTTGGACAGCTTTCACACTTTTATTTTGTGGAAAATGTAATTATTACTGATTTCCAGGGGTTAGTGACAGTGGAAGATAGAATGTGTGGGGCTATAAAGATTTAACATGACTTGGGCCAGGGATTTAGCTCAGTGGTGCTGCTGCCTGCCCTGTAAACATGAGCCCCTGAGTTCAATCCCTGGCACCAAAAAAAAAAAAAATTTTTAACATGACTTTTGTGATAATAGAATTGTTCTTCTTTTTTTTTTTTCAGTTCTTGGTATTGAACTCAGGGCCTTTACACTGAACTACATCTCAACCCACCTTTTTTTATGTACTGGGTATCCCCTCTTTATTTGAGACAGGGTCTGGCTAAGTTGCCATGGCTATACTTAAACTTGTGATCCTCCTACCTCAACCTCCTAAGTGCTGAGATTAAAGGCATGTACTACCACCTCCAGCATGGTTCCTTCTCTCTATTGGCACTGGCTTACACAAATCTACATACAAACATGCTATAATAACATAGAACCATAGACAGAGACTATAAAACATCAACTTCCAAATATTGTACTATAATTTTATGTTAGACACAATTCAGGGAAAGTAAATGAAGATACACAGGACCCCTCTTGGTGTGTGCTTTCGTAGATTCTGTATTTGTCTAGTTGCCATCCATGCATCACAGGTTCAGTTATATTAACAGTAGTTTCTGTATTCTGTGCTCTGACATACCTTGCTGACTGGGGAGAGACTCAGCCAGGCAATTTTTAGAAATGGCACAGTCTGATCCCAGGAGCTTTCCTTTGATATGTAAACAAATCCATCCAAACTTCACAGTGCCAACCATGTCCTGATCAAACCCTCATGCACCACCCCAATGTTCCTCTGCTCTACATCATGCCAGGGCCAGTTGCCAAGCAACTAGAAACCACCTCTGCTATCCAGAGCCACGAGCATTATCCAAATTAGCCAATCCTAAGCTATTTACCCTGCTCTGCTTTGCTTTCTCCACAGAAACCTCAATATAGTAAGCAGCCAAAGCTTTGTCCTTGATCTTCCTGCCTCCTGCCTAGCCCTGCATGTACCTAGTGGCCCTGTGTGGCATGATTTGTCCCACTTTCGTTAAAGTGATAAAAATCTCCTTTCTTGTTTTTGTTGTTGTTGCTGTTGTTTTAGTTTGTTTTCTGTTTTTATGAGACAGGGTCTCACTCTGTAGTTCAGGCTGGCCTTGAACTCACTATAGCCCAGGCTGGCTTGAAACTTGCAGCAATCCTCCTGCCTCAGACTCCTGAGTGGTGGGATGAATACAAAAAAAAAAAAAAAATTTTTAACATGACTTTTGTGATAATAGAATTGTTCTTCTTTTTTTTTTTTCAGTTCTTGGTATTGAACTCAGGGCCTTTACACTGAACTACATCTCAACCCACCTTTTTTTATGTACTGGGTATCCCCTCTTTATTTGAGACAGGGTCTGGCTAAGTTGCCATGGCTATACTTAAACTTGTGATCCTCCTACCTCAACCTCCTAAGTGCTGAGATTAAAGGCATGTACTACCACCTCCAGCATGGTTCCTTCTCTCTATTGGCACTGGCTTACACAAATCTACATACAAACATGCTATAATAACATAGAACCATAGACAGAGACTATAAAACATCAACTTCCAAATATTGTACTATAATTTTATGTTAGACACAATTCAGGGAAAGTAAATGAAGATACACAGGACCCCTCTTGGTGTGTGCTTTCGTAGATTCTGTATTTGTCTAGTTGCCATCCATGCATCACAGGTTCAGTTATATTAACAGTAGTTTCTGTATTCTGTGCTCTGACATACCTTGCTGACTGGGGAGAGACTCAGCCAGGCAATTTTTAGAAATGGCACAGTCCGATCCCAGGAGCTTTCCTTTGATATGTAAACAAATCCATCCAAACTTCACAGTGCCAACCATGTCCTGATCAAACCCTCATGCACCACCCCAATGTTCCTCTGCTCTACATCATGCCAGGGCCAGTTGCCAAGCAACTAGAAACCACCTCTGCTATCCAGAGCCACGAGCATTATCCAAATTAGCCAATCCTAAGCTATTTACCCTGCTCTGCTTTGCTTTCTCCACAGAAACCTCAATATAGTAAGCAGCCAAAGCTTTGTCCTTGATCTTCCTGCCTCCTGCCTAGCCCTGCATGTACCTAGTGGCCCTGTGTGGCATGATTTGTCCCACTTTCGTTAAAGTGATAAAAATCTCCTTTCTTGTTTTTGTTGTTGTTGCTGTTGTTTTAGTTTGTTTTCTGTTTTTATGAGACAGGGTCTCACTCTGTAGTTCAGGCTGGCCTTGAACTCACTATAGCCCAGGCTGGCTTGAAACTTGCAGCAATCCTCCTGCCTCAGACTCCTGAGTGGTGGGATGAAAGGTGTACACTACCATGCCCAGCCTAAAAACCTCCTTTCAGTGGCCCCTGCCTCTCCGTGTGCTCAGTCACCTCCATAAATTAAACTCCCTTGGAGACAGGTGAAACTATTTTTGCATCTACCTATAAATCAATAATTACTTTGAAATAAAGTTTTATAAAAATAAAGTGACATGGGCAGATTTCACACTTTTGAAGTTTCCTGGAATAAGTAGGATTATTCTAGATTACAAGTGGGTAGAACTCAACTGTTCCAACCACTGGTTTATACTTCACTGAGAAAGAGGAAGGTCTTTAATTACTATTTAAGTCTATACTTAATAGGCTTCAATTTTTCTATTTTGTTAACATATTCTAAAAATATCTTTTCAAAAACATATCCCTATTATTTTGGTTTCCAAAGCCAAGATGTCCTAGTTACTTTTTCTCATTACTGAGACAATATACCCAACAC